CATTTTGTCAAGGACAGAACTTCTTCCATCATGTTCTTCCATCCTAGTCTGTGGCTTATCCTTATGGTCCAAGACAGTTGCCTAAGCTCCGGCTGGTGCGGTTTGACTTTGAGCCAGCAGGAAGCAGGAGAGCGATGGAAGAAAAGCGGGTTCTTTCTCTTTATAAACGCTTCCCAGAAGTTTCATGTGCCCCTTATACTCACATATCATTGACCAATAGTTAGTCACATGGCCATAGTCAGTTACAAGAGAGATTGGGAAACGCAGTCTTATTTCTGGGAGCCATTAGCCAGCTAAAAATTTGAAATTTTGTTGTTGTTGGTAATCCTCACCTGAGGATATTTTTCCATTTATTTTTCCCCCCATTGATTTTGGAAGGGAGGGGGAGAGACAGGGAGAGAAACATCGATTGGTTGCCTTCTGCATGCCCCCAACTGGAGCCAAGGATAGAGCCTGCAACCGAGGAACCCGTCCTTGATCAGAATCAAACCTGGGATCCTTCAGCCCATGGGTCGATGTTCTATTCATTAAGCCAAACCAGCTGGGACTGTTTGTGTTTTTTACTAAAGAAAAGGGGAAAAGAAATTTTGGGGGAAATTAGTAGCTTCTGCTTAACTTCTCTGAACTGTGAACTACTGCGGCACAGGGTTTTACTCGCCTTTGCGTCTCCAGCACTTAGCAGCTAGCTAGTCAGTAATATTTGTGGCATGTCACTGAGGGAATGAAGGGCGGTTCTTTCCTCAGACCACTGAGGGGCACTCACAAGTTTAAGGGTTACACCCCCATCAGTGGGGGTTGGTGTCACCCTCTTCTCAGTGTAGATAATAGATCTTATTGGAGAGGCTTCAGGATGTAGCAGGAACATCATGAGCCTTCAAGTCAGAAATCCTGTCCCTGTCCCTTACTTCTCAGGTGACAGTGGGCAGAGTGCCTAACTTTAAGTATCTTGTCTTTAAAGTGAAAATACAGATGTCTATCTTGATGGGGAGTTATTCCTTCACCAGTACAGAGTTTTTTATTTCGGGTGATGAAAAGTTCTGGGAATAGATAGTGGCAGTGATTTCACAACCTTGTGAATGAAATTATTGTCACTGAAATGCACACTTAAAAACGGTTTAGAAAGTTTCCGACCTCGCAAGTTTGCCACATTTCTGTGTGTGCCTCACGTGAGTTCAAGGAAGAGCATGACAAGGGAAACTAGAAACGGGCAGAAATAAAAAAGCAATCACAAAAGGGTGGTCTGGGCTGGTGCAAGGGGTGGAGGACTGTGGTCAGAAGATAGTAATTACATTTTCCAAGAATATTTGAGTCTTGTAACCAGAGCCCTTTGTGGTCTCTTGGCAGCGTGCAGACTGTGCGGAGAAACATCTGACGTGCAGGTTTAGTGGCGCAGTGGTTCTCTGGCGGCCTTCTGAGCAGAGCTGATAGTGCTTATGTTTGCAAATCCTCAAACACTTTATAAAATGACTTGGTGAGACGAGAGTTCACTCAATCTGGTCAGAACTAGTCATTCAACTTCATTTTGAGCAACACTTAATGCACCGATATGCAGTCATTAGGGCTATTAATCAATATTCTGGTTCTTACCTCAGGACACAAGGTCAAATTTTATTTCCCCGCTGAAGAAGAGCAGACATAATGTGTGGCGTGCTGAGTGCAAGTATTCCCCTCTTCTCATCCTGCCTCAGTGATTACAGAAGCACACGACGAGATGAGGCCTCCATCACCGTGTCTGAGTGACTACAATGAGCCTTACTTTTCACCCTGCACTAAACATGTAGCATGAGGGAGGAATAAACTTTTCTGAGTTATGCCACGGAGCTGTTGGCACTGTTGGCTACTGCAGCATTACTTAGCCTAACCTGATCAATATTGTGTGCCTTGCCCTGGGCCAAGTGAACATTTTACCATAGAGATTAAACTCTATAGAGTCAGGGAGACTGAGCCTCAATCTGAATTAGCTACTTTCTCACAGTGTGATCTTGAACAAATCAATACACATCCTAGAAAATGGGATTAATAATGGAAACCACCTCATCCATCGGATTTTTATGAGGATTAAACTAGGTGAGCAACGTAGCCCAGCACATAGCAAGTCCTCAAAGAGTTGGATGATGATGATCTCATTTAGTTCTCATTTAACTCTGCGTAAGATTTGCCGATGAATCAAACCACGGAGTTTTGGCACTGTTAATGCAAGGAATAAGAGAAAGTTTTGAGATTAGAATCCAGCCCTGCGCCTTTCGGTCACAGCTCTATGTCCCTGGAAGCTGTCCAGCTCCCGGGTGCAGCCTCATCTCCTTCTGTCCTCATCTGCTCTCCAGAGGCCTCATTACTAACTCAACGTCCCCAGTGACCAAATGCATGCACAGTACTTCCCTGGGGCAGAGGCGCAGAGCTACAGCCTCCTATCCTGGTCCCTCAGAGGCTGTCCAGCTGTCCTGCCTGAAAGGCAGGCGAGGAATCAGACATTTGATTCCCTTCTGCATGAGGCTCACTTCTTAGTCTTTGAAAGCCAAATGATTTACTTAAACCATTTTTTAAATTGATGCTCCTGGTAAAAATCACCTGGAGATGCAAAAGGGTGTAGAGCAGTGGTTCTCAACCTTCCTAATGCCGCAACCCTTTAATACAGTTCCTCATGTTGTGGTGACCCCCAATTTCATTGTTACAAATTGAACATAATTAAAGCATAGTGATTAATCACAAAAACAATATGTAATTATATATGTGTTTTCTGATGGTCTTAGGTGACCCCTGTGAAAGGGTTGTTTGACCCCCAAAGGAGTCGCGACCCACAAGTTGAGAGCCGCTGGTGTAGAAAGATGCCTCTCTCCCACCCTGCTCTCTAGATCAGTGATGGCGAATCTTTTGAGCTCGGTATGTCAGCATTTTGAAAAACCCTAACTTAACTCTGGTGCCGTGTCACATATAGAAATTTTTTGATATTTGCAACCATAGTAAAACAAAGATTTATATTTTTGACATTTATTTTATATATTTAAATGCCATTTAACAAAGAAAAATCAACCAAAAAAATGAGTTCGCATGTCACCTCTGACACGCGTGTCATAGGTTCGCCATCACTGCTCTAGATGCTCAGTTTCCCTCCCCAAAGGTAACTGTGGTGGCCCATTCCCTCAAAATGGGTTTTCCAGTGAGTTCCTTGTTTATTTCTCTGGCAGCACCATCAGGGGCATGCACTTCTGGGGCGAGTATCCTTCCTGCCTGGTTGAGGTTCCCACTGCTCTCCCACCAGCAACACCTCCTTCTGGCCTCCTAATCCTGCATATCCGGCTCCATCTGTTCAAAACTTCTTCTTCAGGAAGAACTTTTTAGCAATTTCAGCTGTTACTCATCACTCTTCTTTTTGACAGCAGTACTATTTCCGTCACATACTGGACACTTTGTCATATCCAATTTATCAGGTGCTAGTTTCCAATTGCTTGGTGTGGGCCAACCTCCCTTCGCCAACCAGCCTGAAGGTTTATTGTCTATCCCCAGTGGCTTCTACCACTTACATCCTGATGACTCCCAAATCCATTCTTCTGACCTTCAGACATATTTTCCATTGAAACTGGGCATCTTCCCAGTTGCCCTCATGGGAATGTTCAAAATGAAACCTTGCTTTTTGCCCTTATTTGCCCTACTTTTGGAATTTCCTTTCTCAATGAATGGCTTCAACATCTATTTAGTCATCCAAACTTGAAACTTCAGTCACCTGAACTCCAACTATCTGCAGGCCCTCTTGCCCCCGCCCCCCCGCCCCCAATCAAAGAGGATATGTGCTGGGGAGGCAGGAGAAAATGCATCACAAGCTTTGTCAATTGCATAACAAAAAAACCCCCACAAAACAGCTCTCCAATTGGTCTTTTTCTTTACACTCCCACTAGCTCTACTCTTGGTTAGGCTCACACCATCTCTTGCCTGGTTTATAGAAATTGCTTCCAAATTGGTCATCCTCCTTACATTTTACTCTCTCTTCCCTCCAGTTCATTTTCTCCTCTCTGGCAGTGTCATGGTAATCATGTCACTTTCCTGATCAAAAACTTTTCAGGGTTTCCCTCTTGCCTCCAGATTCACCTCCGGTATTCCTCCCCAAGCTTCCTACTGCCACTATCCCCTTATATCCCTCAAATTTGGGTGAAGTGACCACCTTTCATTCTTCAGACAGGCTGTTTAAAAATGGTCTCTTTTTGACTTAGCTGGTTTGGCTCAGTGGATAGAGTGTCAGCCTGCAGACTGAAGGTCCCAGGTTTGATTACAGTCAAGGGCACATGCCTGGGTTTCGGGCTCAATCCCCAGTGGGGGGGCATGCAGGAGGCAGCTGATCAATGATTCATTCTCACATCATTGATGTTTCTATCTCTCTCTTCCTCTCCCTTCCTCTCTGAAATCAATAAAAATGTATTTAAAAATAAAATAAAAATGGTCTTTTTTTTTCTTGGTGATGTTACTATCTCATGTTTCTAAGCACTGTTTAGTGTTTCTAGGCTCAAGAAGGTTGTGATGTGCCTTATAGAGAAAATACACGTTTTAAAAAAGCATCCTTCACTCTGATAGTTATAGTTAGAGGTTACAGTGCTGTTGGTCATGAGTGCAATATTAACGAGTCAACAATAAGGCATCTTTAAACAGAAGCACACAAAAAATAAGGTTATATAGTGGTAGGTTGATGAAAATGTGACCAGAGGCTTACGGAAACCTAACCCTGTATTTTCCCTATGAACAATGGTTTGGTATTCGCTAATTCAGCGTTCACGGTGACTTTATACAGCATAACTGCTGCAAATAACAAGAATCAACTATATTTAGTTGTTTGTAATGACTCACAGAAAGAATGAAAACCCAGTGAGGGCAGGCACTTCGCTTCTGCTGGAACAATGCCTGGCACTTAGTAAGTTCTCAATAAATATTTGTTGAATGACTGAATGAATGAATAAATGAGTTAGAAGACACTTTGCCTAGACCTTAGAAGAGGGGGAAAATTGCATCTTTATTTTTATTATTCTGAAATTAAACAGTTCCTTCAATCGTGAGTACAGGCAATAAATCACAGTAACACTAACAGTGTTTGTGACAGTCATAAAGAAGTCACTGGTATTTTTAAATCACAGTACAGTTGTAGGTACTTGAAATATAATTTCACGTTCACCAGGACTTCAAATTATAGCCGATGCTTTGTCCACTAACAAATATCATTATTTTTCATGTGTTCATAAACATTTGACACCAACATTTTAATAATTGTATTTGAGAATAATTAATTTCCTTTGAAATCCTGTGGTTTTTTTACTTCTGCATTGAAAGAATTAAAACATTCTGAGAAAATCTCCATCAGCCTCCCCAGACTAAGTCCATGGCACAAAAAAGTTTAAGACCCCTGGTCCACCTTCAGGTCAAGGCCACACTCAGGTAACACGTTCAGGGCCATGAAGCTACTTAGACACAGAACTAGTGTCCACACCCAAATCTGCGTACAAGCGTCACCAGAGTGGGCCTCTGCATTCTGAGGCTCCTCCACAAAGACTCTCCTCTGTGCATCCCCTCTCATACCGGAGGAGCACTGGTGGGAAGTTTCCAGTGAATTCCATAAAGCGTGTGGAGCGCTGACCACATGCAGAACCTGCTCACAGGAGCTGGAGGACACTGCTCTTCCATGTATGGCCTGAAAACTTACTGGCCAGCGATGAGAAAAGTATAGAAATTGAGAGTAGGGGTGTAGAGACTGTTAGAGCAACTTGAACCTAGCAAGAATGGAACTAAGGCTTATATTTTTATATGTCGTTGGTTTGTAAATTTCATTTTATTTTACAAAATCATCAGTCTGCAATGGATTGGAAATTTACAAAAGTAAAAACTACACACAAAAAAATGCTGGTCTTTCCTTCACACAGAGTTTGCGAATCACCATCGTGGGAGGATACAGTGGACAAAGATTGGGGAAGGGGGCTTGGATACAGCTGGGCAAATGCTCTGAAAGACACGAATAAAATGCTGGACACGGAAGCACATCAGACGAGCAGAAATGGGGAAGGCAGAGGGAGGAGGAGGCATTGAGCTGTGCTTTGCCCAATGCCTATGGGTGGAGAAGATACCTTTCAGGGTGTTCCAGGCGATGCACTCAGCGAGGCTCAGGCAAGGACTGTAGCATCCAAGGTGCGTCAGAGAAGGCTGTCATCAGGCACGCAGGGCGAATGTCTGCGCTGAGTGAGGACAGGAGATGGTGGGAAGCATCCTGGACTGGCTAGTGACCTTGGAAACATGCTGAGGACGTGGGGCTTTTTCTGGAGACCAGGAAGAACTGTGGACCTACTTTGAGAAGGGAATTAAATGATAACATTTGAGTTTTAAATGGTAATAATTGTTGAGCCAACTCAATTTTAAAAATTCTCAGGCACTGGCTTGCAGAGGAGAGAGTTTCGCTCTTCCATCAGAATGTGCAAATACACGAAGATTGATTTCCATGCCTGGATGAGCACGTGCAAGGCTGTACATGAAGGAGCAGTGCTCTGGGAAACTGATGTGCCCCTTTTCTCCTCTCTTCTCCTTTCCCTTCTTCTTGCCTCTCTTTTCTCTTCTCCGTCTATTACTAAGCACTTCCCAATAGTACCTCCTGTGATGATGACAATGGCCTGTATCTATCTGCACTGTCCGCCACCAGCCACATGTGGTCACTGAGCCTTTGAAGTATGGCTACTGGCTGAGAAACTGAATGTTAAATTTTATGTAATTGTAATGAATTTAAATTTAAAAGGCCACATTTTGGCTATTGGGTACCATATTGGATAATACAGTAACTTTCTCTACAACAAAAACAGAGAAGAAAAATGTAGGTGCCAAGGCGGTTGTCCTGGCACATTTCATTAATGAGAGCAGTCAGAAGAGAGGGAAGGTGGAAACGAGTCCTCTGCTTTTAACCCAAATGTGTATGTTTTATTTTTTTAAAATATATTTTATTGAGTTTTCACAGAGAGGAAAGGAGAGGGATAGAGAGTTAGAAACATCAATGAGAGAGAAACATCGATCAGCTGCCTCCTGTACACCCCCAACTGGGGATGTGCTCGCAACCAAGGTACATGCCCTTAACTGGAATCGAACCTGGGATCTTTCAGTCCGCAGGCCGATGCTCTATCCACTGAGCCAAACCGGTTAGTTCTCAAATGTGTATGTTTTAATCTATTTGTGTCCAGTGGGTCTCTTGGAAAGAGTCCTGGAAGTCACGAGCTTGGGGTTCTCACCTGATATTGATGTGTTACCTTAGTCAGGTCACTGCCAGGGAAGGACGAGAACTAACGTCCACTGAGCAAAGTACCAGGCATGGGGTGGGGCAGCATTTTTACAGATCACCCCAGTTGAATGTTCACAGCAAACCTGTGAAATAGTGTTTTTATTCCGAGGGCACAGGTGAGGAAAAGGAGGGTTGGAGAGGGAAGCGGTTCGTCCAAGTCTCCCAGGTAGTGAGGTGGAGAGAAGGTACTTAGTTGTCAGAGCCAGTTCTAAGGTCAGAGCTCTTTCCACTGCACCCCCGCGCTTCCCTAAACTCTCCGCATCGCCAAAGAGACAGGACCTGGACCCTCGTGCTGTCTACCCTCCGAATGAAGATGAAGAGGACCCTGAAGTGTGGACAAGGCCCGGGTGCTGAGTGTGCTCAGGGGAGGGAGGGAGGTGCTTTTTTCTGAGAGTGCAGACCAGGCACAGTGCTCTGAGGTGGTTCTGCACTCTCACTGACATTGAAAATACTTGAAAGTTTCCATTTAGAAATGCCTGAGGCCAGGCCTGTTTCAATCATGTAAAAACCAATATCAGCTTGGAAAGGTTATCACAGCCTTTCCAATTCCAGTCAACATTAAAAATGCAAATGTTTGCTATTTAAATACAGCCTTGGCCACCAGCATCAGGACATAAGGTAAACCACAGTGGGCAGCCTTCCCCACCGAGGGCTCGCTTGTCTCCGCGGGAAGGAAGCGGAGGTTGTGCGGAAAGTCTGAGTCATACCGGGCTGATGGAGCCGCTTCCAGCCCCATGCAGGTCTGGGTCCTCAGAAGTTATCCAGCTTCGATCACTGAATCAGATAGCCATTCAACGGGGGCAGGGACGCTGTTAGTTTTCTTTGCCCTTGTTTTCCCAGTACCTAGCCCATTGCCAGATTCATGGTAAGAGCTCAAGGGTATTTTTGAATAAATAAATTCATTCCTTCATCGTATTTTTAAAAAAAGATATCCTATCATATCCCAGCACTGTGCTAGGCTGATAAATAGATACAGAAGCAGGCCATTTTGGGAAATCAACTCAAGTAATTTACCACCTAGGAAGGATGAGAAGATGTGCAAATAAACAATCTATAATAATAAAAGTATAATATGCTAATTAGACCAGACAGCCGAACAACCTTCCAGACGTAATTTCTGACGTCCTTCTGCACGAAGCTGCTGTGGCGGGGGCAAGGCAAAGGCAGTTAGGGGTGATCAGGCAGGGAGGCAGAGTGGTTAGGGGCGATCAGCCAGGCAGGCAGAGTGGTTAGGGGTGATCAGGCAGGCAGGCAGGCAAGCGGTTTGGAGCCAGCAGTCCTGGATTGCGAGAGGGATGTCTGACTGCCAGTTTAGGCCCTATCCCAGGATTGGGCCTAAACTGGCAGTCGGACATCCCTCGAGGGGTCCCAGATTGCAAGAGTGTGCAGGCTGGGCTGAGGGCCCCCTCCCCGCATGAATTTCATGCACCAGGTCTCTAATAATAACATAAAATAGTTAACCTTACCATAAGTATGAAGTCTGGAGTTTGTTAACAAAAGGTGCTTGAAGACGTGCCAGTTGAAGGCTGCTTGTGTGGTCCGACATGGGGGTTCTGGACGATCTCAGAGTAACTGGGCAGTGAGATCAGCAGTGGCAGCTTCTTGGACGAGGTGCCAAGAACCATTCCCGGGGTGGGCTCAGGTTCTTGGTAGTCTCCTTCACTCAGACTGCCGGCTTCGTGGGGGCTGGCCTGTATCTTACTCAGCTCTGCACCCCAATACTCCACATGGGGCCTGACACATAGTAGGAAACAACATATGCTGAATAAATGAATGAATACATGAATACAAGTTAGGAATCCATGAGAAATCCATAATAACAAGAAACATTTATTGAGCATTTGCATGGAACAAACAATTGATATAATCTTCTTAACTAATTGTAACAGTCAGCATGCAGCCAGGAGACAGAAACCACATCAGTTACGTGAACAGTGGGAATTTAATGAAAAGGATTGTTAACTAGATGTAAGGTTGTTAACTAGGCAACTGAAAGGGTAAAATGAGAACTAAAAGCTAAAACAGAGATAACAGCTGTAGAAATTAGCTATCCGCTTAGGGATGAAAGACCACAGGGGGAAAAGTTAGAATTATTAAAATTAAGAGGGTTCGTGGAGGGGCCCCATGAGCTGAAACTCAGACCGCTGAGGAGGGGGCACTGCTGGGCTGGTGCTAACGTCTCTGATGGGAAGCGATGAAGCTAATTCTGTGTTGCAAAACTGCAAACTGGCTTCAGCTGTGCTGTGGGGAGGACTAGCTGCTGCCAAAGGAAAAGGTATTGCTGGGATAGGAATAGCTATCCAACAAACTCCTCTTCATCCTTCAAGACCCAGTTCAGATGTCACCTCCCCTGAGAGCCTTCCTGGTCTCTTCCTTCAGATACTAAGCCCACAGGAACAAGCAAGTCTGCTCTTCCCCCTCCAGCCCTGCAGCTCCCTCTAGTACCCCCATTGGCAGAATTCAAGAGGGGGCCAGCAGGCTGAGCAGAAATGTGATTTGCAGAGATCCAGCCCCATCAACACAAAGCAGAGTACAGACGGGTTTGGAACTGAGATGCCGTGACATCATAACTGGCACAGGACTCTTCCCATCATTGCTGTGATGTAGGTACTATTACACCCATTATACAGATGACAAAACCTACTGTCTAGAGAAGGTAAGGTGATTTGCCTAATAAGTTGATTGAGGCAGTGCCCAGATTGGAAGCCAGGTCCATCTGCTCTTAGTGGCAATATTATAACAAGTTTTCTTCACATTTTTATGTCAAGGAGGTGTCAGGAGATAGAACAGATTTGAAGTCCCAGTGGTGTTTGGTTGGTAGCTGGGGACGAGATGGGGTTGGGCATTCAGGTATTAGCTGTAAGAGCAGGGTAGCAGACGTGGGGCAGTCCTGACAAATGTCTCGCAATGTGTCACTTTCATCTCTCACTTTACTATCCTTTAAGAACGTTGAGATCTTTATTCATTGATCAAAAATTAGCCACCCACAGCTGATCTATGATTCTCTCTCATCATAGATGTTTCTATCTTTCTCTCTCTCTCCCTTCCTTTCTGAAATTAATAAAAATATCTTTTTAAAAATTAGCCATCCAACAAACTCGTCTCCATCCATCAAGACCCAGCTCAGATGTCACCTCTCCTGAGAAGCCTTCCTGACCTACAGAGCCAGCCGTGCCTCCACGGTGCTCCCACAGGACTTGGTGCAGACACCTGGATGGAGTTTACTTATCTATATACTATAATAGATTATGGGCTCTTTGAAGGCAGGTCTGGGTCCATCTAGTCTCTGCCTGGTACCCAATGTCTAGTGATGATTATAAAGGCTTGTTTCTCCCAGAAGTGTGCTTCTGTGGGAGCACTGACAACTGCAGGGTCACATGTTTTCACTCATTCTCTACCTTTCATAAGTTCCTGGTTTCATAAGTTCATAAGACATGGAAAATAACCCCAAAAGCCAAACCCCCTTCATCTATCACCTTTTCCAACCCATTCTTCTCACTTCAGTTGGATGCAAACATAATCATTTGAAGCCCCTGCTAACGCCCTCCAAAGGCTTTCCGCTGCTCTTGGGATGATGACTAGCTCATCATCATTGTCACCCGTGTCCTCTGACATGTGCTCCCTGCCCCTCGCCGGCCTCCCCACCCTCTTTCTGCCTCCTTCTACTCCACCCTCCCTGAACTTCTTCAATTTCCCGAACTCACCAAGCTCTTTGCATCGTGGTCTTTGCAGGTGGGTTTCCCTTACCCAGGACCCTCTTTTCTTGCTCCCTTTGTCCAAATCACTCCAGCTTACCTTTTAGATCTCAGCTGCTGAGTCACTTCCTCCGGGAGGTTATTGCCAGGGTAACCTGATGCTCCCGAGCAGCCTGCTCCTGAACTGGAACGGCCTGCGTTTGCTCAGGACCAGGAGCTCCCTGTCAAGGGCTGTGTAAAACAGATTTTCATTAATTAACTAAAAACTTAAAAACAACAAAAAACTAGGAGAGGTGTCTCCACGTGATTTTAGAAGTCACAGGCTGCCCAAGATGTGGTGAAATGACTCTTCCCCAGGGCCAAGGGGCCCAGTGTGAGGAGGACCACTGAGATGGGGACAGGGCTCTGGGCCTGGAGTTAGGAGATCAGGTTGGAGCCTTGGCGATTTGGGGGGCAGCCCATCTGTCGATTTGGGGGGCAGCCCATCTGTCGCTGTGTTGGATTCTTCATCTCTAAAACAGGGATAATAGGGGAGGAAAACAAATGCTTCCTCTGCTCTCTTAGGTTCTGCAGCTGAGGCTCAGGAAATTAAACAGACAAAAGACAGATTAATAAGAGAAAAAACAGTTTATGAATCATGCAGTATGCAAACACACCCGAGAAACTCGGTGATGACGTTCCCCAAGGGATGGTTAGAATTTGATGAGTAACTCAAAGGGGTGTTTAGAATTTGAGGTTTGTATAGCATCTTAATGAAGAAGAATAAATTTATACAATAGTGATAAGACAAAGAGGTTTAAGCTTTTAGGGGCTGCGAACTGTGAGTAGGTAAATGTATTGGGAAACCAATGGAAAATGGAAGTTATTTTAGTACAATCTAGAGTGCAATCTAAGAGTCTGGAGTTGTCTCAAGCAATTAAGATCTAAGAGTTGTCCTCCCGGGTTCTCCACTTTCTGGTACAGGAGAGGGAGATGCCTCTACAAATGGGAATTTATGTTCTGCTTTTAGGTTACTAGGGGGCAAGGGCGGAGAACTATTTTTGGTGCCTGATGTATGTATCTCAATGGTCTTCATCTCAAAAAAAAAGTTCTTATGCCAACGTGGCATATTCTAAGATGCCACAGGAACAACTCTGGGTTCCCCGGACTAACTTTGAAGGGGACACACATTCACTTCTGGAGCATGAAAGGGCCTATTCTTCACAGAAAGCGTGCTGCTATCCCACATCTTGCGCATTACAGCTGTTTTTCAAAGCCTGCTATACAGCCCCCCATGTCCAGTTCTCCCTTACGTTCACCCAGTGGGCTCCCTGTTTGTGAGCGCACAGGGTGGAGATGAGATGGAGTGTGTGGAAACCCTGTGAAATGCTGTACCAAGGTCAGGCGTAGCCATTCCCATGATCACCGTCTGCAGGAGGCAGTCCAGGCCCCATCTTGAGAGCTGTATTCACAGCAGACCAAACCCAGGTCTTAAGCCTTCCTCCTCCTCCCCCAGGGCCAACTGGAGGCTTTTTACAGAGAAGACACATCAAAGCCCCAGCTGTGGGTTTTTATAGTTCAATGTTGTACAAGCTGCCTTCTCGAGAGATAAAGAGTCTGGAGGAAACGTGGGAAAGCTAATCTAAACTTCCTGCTCCCCAGCCAGCACGTCCCATGCCTGACTCTTTTATGAGGAAGCCTTCAGGCTGCTCCTGACTGTTTGCATCATTCATGATCCCCCTGACCACTGTTTCTCCTAGACCTAGACACAGCTAATAAAAAGGGCCCAGTGCAGCCTGTCGTCCCAGGCCCCCAAGAGCGATCAATCAAAGAACAGAGCTTATTAAACTATCCAGCCAGAGAGATGGGTTGTTCCAAAAATTTTAAACCCTCCTGAAATTGACTCCTAAACAAGGCAAGAGACACCCATGGAATAAACATTGGTATTTAACCTGTTTTGCATCACTTAAGTCTTACATCAACTCTCCCCATTTTATGGATGAGTAAATTGGGGCTCAGAAAGGTTGTAGCTGGATGGACACATGCATGGATGTGTGGGTGAATAGGTGGGTGGGAGGGTGGTTGGGTGGAGGAGGGGATGGATAAAGAAGTTTCTTGCTAAGGTCAAGAGAAAGTCCTTGCATCTCTCCAGAAAGGCAGAGCCATCACACATGTTTTCATACGGAAGCTCCTCACGGGAAAGGGCTTCGCCTGTCACTGGGCCAGTGCAAAACAAGGCCACTCTCTGGCAAAGCCGTTCCCTGGACATAAGAATATAGACGGGATCTTTCCATTTTTAGTTGCAGCTTCGGAGTCAGAAGCAGCAGAGTCTTGGCCCCACCGTTTCCTTACTGTGTAAACACCTCTGTGTTCAGTTTCTGCATTTGTAAAACGGAGAACTACCCAACTTATTTTTCCATCGTCAACACTGACCTATGGGGCAAAAACAAAAAATTAAAATCCCAAGCAACTCACCATCTTGTTGGAGAAGCTAAGACACAGATGAGTTTAATAACAATAATGAACAGGTTTGCCACATGCCATGCCCTCCCACCCACCTATTCACCCACACATCCAAGCATGCGTCTGTGTCCATTATCTGGTTAACTGCTCATGGAAACCTCACACGATCAATCCCACTGTAACTCCCATTTAACAGGTGAGAAAACTGAGACCTGCAGTAACTGGTCCAAAGGCACACAGCTTATGAGGGAGCTGGGATTCCAATGAATGCAGCCTGGCTCCTGAAAATGTGCTCTTCCGTATCACCTCAAGTGTATGCCACCTGTTCCCAGATGACCTTGAAGGGCCCCGCTGATGTTCCTTATAAAATACTGGCGGCCAGGGGCATGGTGCCCTAAGGCCACTGCTGCCTGAGCCCAATCTCTCCCCCCATTCCTCTCCCTACATCCCTTCCCCTGTTTCTACTTCTCATGGCACACCAAGGCTAGGCAGAGAGGGGTACAGAGAGGAGACCAGTGTAAACTGAAGGGCCCATCTTCCTCCCTGCCCACCAGCTTCCCCACCAGCTCTAGGGCAGGGGTACTGGTCCCATGGTATTCTCCACCCCAAAGACCATCCTCCTGCTGATCCCGGGAGTCAGTGCCCATGACAGCCACCACATGGGGCTGCTGGGCTTTGACACATGGAGGGATCTGACTTTAGTCCTCAGGCTCATAATAACATCTCTGTCCACAGAGCTCTTGCCTGGGACCGGAATAGCTCAGGTGCTTTAGGTATATTCTCTCTTTCAGTTTAATCCCCGTGACATCCCCGTGAGGCAAGGAGATGCCACATGGCCAGTTCAGACAGGCTGTCTGACCTCAAAGCCCTGCTGCATGTCAGCTTGCTGCTTAGTGTCTCCCTCTTCATACTCTCCTGCATAACCCCTGCCCCCAACTAGGAACTGAGCCTGCACAACCCAGGCATGTGCCCTAACCTGGAATAGAACCGTGACCTCCTGATTCACAGGTCGACGCTCAGCCACTGAGCCACGCTGGCCAGGCCCAAGTAGTGTGGAAAGCTGGTTCTGACTCTTGGCTTTGTCAGGCTGGGGAGAGTCAGCGGGTGGTCCTCCGTTCTGGGCCACCTCCACCACTGAGCGTCAGCCTGTCAGCCTCGGGGTGGGCTGAGGCTGGTAACCTGAAAGACCCAGGAGTCTCCCCGGAACGATCTCACCCGAGGTAACCAAATGGAGGCCCACGCAGAGTCCACCCTGCTGCCTCCCCTTCACTTGGCCCAGCCTGTCAGTGCCCCCCAACGGGCTCTTATGCCTGGGTCCTAGAGAAAGTGGCTGACATGTATGAACTGAAAATGCAGAGCAGAGATCCCTTTTGATAATAGGTAACAAACAGAGAAGAACTCCCCCACTACCCGCCCCAACCCCCCTAGTTGCTCCTTAGATCACTTGACTGTGCTGAGGGCATGGCAGAAGCAACACTGGGGCCAGGGGACATGTGACAGCTGCAGAAATGCCAGGTGCCAGAGGGGACGGGGCCTGCAGTGTGTGGCAGAAACAGAAGAGGACAGGTCACAGGTCACCTGGAGCAGCCCGGACTGGTGGACTGGTTCCTCACACGGGAATCACTGCTGGGAGCTCCCAGGGAGAGGCATTTCGGTTTGGGGAGCAGATTTAGGGAGGACAGGGCCATGCTGCAGTGAGAGAGAGTGTGCTTACTGGAAGTTACTGTAAGTTAACCTTCCTAGCAGCCACAACCCTTATACATGCTCCAAAAGGCCCAGCTCCTGCCTCCGGGCCAGAGTGGGTTTTAGAGTTCAGTAAAATGCTGGCCATTGTCCTTTCTAACAGAGACAATTCAACCAAGAGCCCTGGCTGCAGGGGGAAGGGACATTCCTCAGCTGGGGCTGTCCCACTACTGGCTGCCCAGCTCAGCAGGGAAAGTCATCTGAGCCAACTCGGGCCAGTGGAGACCTGCGACCTATGGCCCAGCGCAGAGGGGAGCCAGGGCAATCATGCTCCCGCAGGAGTGGGAACCGAGAAATGCCGGAGGCCGCAGGACTGCATTGGAAGGTTGTCCACAGGAGAGACCAAGCTTCGTGTGAGGAGGAGAGACCCAGGAGTAGCAGAGAACTGGTTAGTGGAAGGTGTGCCGCGGGAAGTGAGCCTGGAGATGACTGAGAAAGGCAGCGACAGAGGTGGAAACCACATGGTCCATGACACACAGGAGCACCCGGGGCACCTTCGGTCCCTGCTCCAGCCCATGCACCTCATTCCCTTTCTCCGGAGGTGATGAGAAGCGCTCTACTCCTCAGAAAACCAGACGACAGAACAGGAGGTGAACTCCCTGCCGGACTGGGGGAGGTTTGGGGTTGCAGGAAACCCAACCTCCAGTCCATGGTGGCTTTGCAGGTTACAACAGGGACACTGAAGGACTGTGTGAGCAAGGCGGGGAGTCTGGATGTGACGATCAGCTGCCTCCCAACCACAACCGAGATGACACAAGAGGAAGTTGACTTTGAAGGCCGTCCAACACCTGACTTGTGCCTCAGGAAGGCAGGCAAAACTGTGCAGTCGTTACCCAGGCCCTGGAGCCAGACGGCCTTGATCCCCAGCTTCTGACTGTGGGACCTTGAAGGAGAAATGTACTCTTCTAAGCCTCAGTTTCCAC